GGGGTAGGTCCTTGCTGCTCCTCCCCCAATTCAGCCAACAAACGCCGCTGCCACACAATCTCCCGTACGGCACGGAAGAGTGCCATATACTCGGACTCCACCGAACTCAAAGCTTGGTCAACCTGCTTCTTGCTCTCCCAAGCAGTTGGGCCTCCACCAACACAGCATATGAAGCCTCCCACACTTGTCATGTCGTCTGTTTCTGATGCATATGAAGCATCCGAGTAGGCGGTGAGGAACAAACGCCCGGGTTCAACACCATCCGCGCCCTTTTGGCGCCTTTGTGCCGCCGCCGAGTATTGCAGCCCAACGGTCGGTGTTTGGCCAAGATACTTGGCCACCCTCATTCCAGCTGCTACCTGCTCCTCATTAGGGCATTGCACAACCCTAGCCAGCTGCCCGGTAGCAAACGCGACGTCCGGTCGGGTGTTTACCGCCGCATACATGAGGCTGCCCACCAACGAGTGAAATCGGCGCCTCTCCTCTTCTCCAACGCTCTCCTCCTCTGGCCCCTTCACACACTTGAACCCAGAGGGAAAGGGAGTAGCCACATGACCTTCACTCTGGCCGAAGTTGGCAGCCAACGCCTCCAGGTACTTCCGTTGGTGCACTCGCATGCTCCGCTTCTCCACGTCTCGTTCGATGTGGAGCCCAAGGTAGAAGTTCACGTCACCAAGGGACTTGCACTTGAACTTGTCATGCAGCTTCAGAATCACCTCCTTCATAAGGTCAAAGGAGGGTGAGAATATGAGAATGTCATCCACATAAACCACCATGAAGCTCCTCTGCTCCCCCTCGCCAAGCATGAACAAGGAGTGATCGGCCGTTGAGGGGGTGAAGCCGATCTCCTCCAACACTTCGCGCAGCTTCATGTACCATTGCCTAGGGGCCTGCTTCAGCCCATAGAGGGCCTTCTTCAGCTTCCACACTCTGCCACTACCATCATCAAACCCCTCTGGCTGCGCCATAAAAATCTCCTCCTCAAGGATGCCGTTAAGGAATGCCGTCACAATGTCCATTTGCTTCACCACCCATCCTTTGATGGCGGCTCCCGCGAATAGGGTTCGCAGCGTCGTCGGCTTCACCACAGGGGCAAACAGCTCCTTGAAGTCCACCTTCTCCTTCTGCTGGTACCCCTTGGCTACATGCCTAGACTTGTAACGCTCGATCTTGCCGTCGGCATCCGACTTGATTTTGAAGAGCCACTTGGACGTTATCGCCGTACGCCTCTCCGGTAGCTCCACCAATTAAAACGTGTCATTCTCCTTGATGCTATTCAGCTCACTCTCCATGGCCTTCTTCCACTCCTCAGCATCACTACTCTCCAAAGCCTCCTTGAGAGTTGCTGGTTCTCCCGGCATCTCCACCGGAGAGAAGAACGCGAAGGCACACTCCTCGTAGTCACTCTCCTCATCGTCTCCGACCATCATTGCCGCTCCGGCCAGGGCTGTCTTGCCTTGCTTTCCAAGTGCATCATAGGTCAGCCTATTAGGGGGTTGAACTCTCCTCTTCCCCCTTCCTTCCTCCTCAGCTGCAGGGACTTGAAGGCCTTGGCGTTGCTGCGGTGTGGCTCGAATCCGTGGAGCACTCGTGGTACGGGAAGGGAGTGACGGTGCACGCTCGCTCACTTGCTGCACCTCCTCCTCTTCTTCCTCTGCATCATTGGCCTCCTCTCCCCCATTCACAAGGGAGGATTGCCTCGTGGTTGTGCTGCCGCTGCTCAGCTCCAAAGGCAGCTCCACATGCTCCAAACCGGAACTCTTCACCTCCCCAAACCGCACGCCTATCTTCGCCTCATTCTCCGCCTTCCAATCCTTGTACATGAAGTTCTCCATGAACTTGCAGTCCCTGCTCACCAAGAACTTCTTGGTGAATGGGTCCCAAAGAAGCCATCCCTTGCTGTTTTGAGCCATGCCCAAGTGCACGGCCCACACCGCCTTGGCACCAAGCTTGTTGTGCCGAAGATGCTTAGGCACAAGCGCCATGCACATGCACCCGAACACCCGAAGCATATCCACCTTTGGCTTCCTTCCTAGCCACTCCACATAGGGCACCCATTTGTCTGCTCCCACATGAGTCAAGGCTCTGTTCTTAGCCACACACGCGCTCCGCACCGCATCAGGCCAGAAATAGTCGGGTAGCCCGGCTTCAATGAGCAACCCGCGTGCCGCCTCCGTGATTGTGCGGTTCGCTCGCTCGGCGATGCCATTCATTGCAGGGGAGTATGGCATGGTGAGGGAGTGCCGAATACCATTCTTCTTCAGCCACAACCCAAACTCCTTGCTCAGAAACTCTCCCCCTCGATCGGTGCGGATTGACTTGACTAGACGGTCTTGTTGCCGCTCCACCATCGGGAACCAATCCGCCTTCAACGTTTCAGCCACGTCACTCTTCTTGGCCAGCACGTACACCCAAGTCATGCGGGTGTAGACGTCAACAATGGTGAGAAAATAATCAGCTCCAGCAGCTCCAAGCTTCAGGGGGCCCACCACGTCCATCACCACCTCATCAAGCGGTGCCTTTGCCGTTGCCTCCGAACTAGAGAACGGAAACCGGGTGAACTTGGCTTAAATGCACGTCGGGCAGCCAAGCACCTCATCGGGCTCCCCCTTCACACGTATGCCAGCAACCATCTCATTCTTCACTACCTGCTGCAAGATAGGCAGGGCCACATGCCCCATGCGCCGATGCAAGGTGAGCCAATCACACTCCCCCGTAGCTGAAGTTGGATTGGAGAATGCCGCGCTCGCAATAGCGCCCCACATACTCTCTCCGTAGTCCTCCTCCACTGCTGCCTCGGGGTTCTCCTCACCCTTTTTCTGCTCCTTGGCTGCTGCACCACTCTCCTTAGGTTCACTGAACTTGCTGGTCCCTCCAGGTTTGCTCTTCTTGAGCTCATTCTCCTTAGCGCGACCGTTCGCGCCATCGTCGCTACCGACCGCTCCATCCTTGGTGCTGATGCTTGCTGCCACTTGCCTCTCCTTAGGCATAGGGACCACTGGGATCTGCCACATCTCGTTGTAGACATCCCTGTCCTCATGAAGGTCCCAAAGAACCCGATCGCCAAGCCTTGCGGTGTAGGTCTTGGCTCCCTTCGAGTTAGTGTCCATGCCGGCCTTTGCCAACCGCCGCACGGAAATCAGGTTTGCAGCAAGGCTGGGCACCCAAAGCACGTTCTTGAGGCCCACCATCTTCCCATCAGCACCCTTGAACATGGCCTTCCCCATGCCTTTCACCTCAGCTCGCTGCCCCAAAGCCGATGTGACATGCTTCACCGGTGACGGCTCGAGTTCGGTGAGCAAGTCCGGGCGAGGTGTCATGCTATAGGTAGCGCCACTATCGATCACCCAATAGTCCAGAGGGTGTAGAGTCACCTTCCCCACAGCTGCTGGCTCCTCAAAGCCTTCATCCTTCTCTGGACCAGTCGGTACTTGCGTCGACACAAAGTAGAATAGACCCGGGTACCGATCGTTGCTCGGGTCCTTGTCGTTGTCTCCGCTCTTCATGTTTGCAGCTCCGCCACCGCGACCACCTCGGCCTCCACGGCCTCTTCCTCTCCCTCCTTCTGCTCCTCTACCCTCTTGGCCTTGAGCAGGGGTCCAACCATCAGGGAGTTTGTAGCAGTCGCGCCACATGTGTCCACTCTTGTGGCAATAGTGACACTCGCCGTCGAATCGGCCGCGACCGCGTCCGTAGCTCTTGTCATTGCTGCCGTAACCGCCACTCCCGCGGCCTCCGCCCAAGTTGCTGCCACCAAACCTTCCTCCCCCTCGTCCTCTGCCTCTTCCTCGACCATATCCACGGCCGATGCTCGCTGCCTCAGCGCCATCCGCACTCGCCAACTCACGGCGGCGGAAATCCTCTTGAAGGATAGCCCGCTTCACGTCTTCGAGCGAGAGGCGGGGCAAGTCGCGATTGAGGTTGATGATGAGCGAGGACCATGATTCGGGGAGTAGGGCCAGCAACTTGGTCTTTTTTTGGAGCTCACTATAGTTCAAATCTGCTCCCTCAAGCCGCGTCAACAAGTCGAAGAATTTCTGCACCCCTTCTTCAACCGCTTCATCCTCTTCAATTCGTAACGTCGCCATTTGCCGTTCCAACACCACAGCTACCGCCGCTGTTGTAGGAGCGTGTACACCCTTGAGAGCAGCCCATGCTTTTGGTCCCTTCTCTGGTTCACGCTGGAAAGGCTTGATGTGACGGATTTGGCTGCTCCCCAACGCTTGCCCAAGTAGGAGGTAGCCTTGTGCGCTCTTCCGCACCCACGGGCTCTTCTCCGGGTCGTTCTCGGGACGCTTCTCCGTTCCTTCCATCACCTCCAGCAGGTCATAGTGGTCAAATATGTTCTCCATTCTGAAGGACCACTCAGCAAAGTTGTCACCATTGAACTTGTCAAGGCCAAACACTCTAGGCTCATCCCTAGATGGGCCAACACTTGGTTGCACGGGCGCCATGGCTGAGTCACGGGGTTGGCCTTGAGCTTGGGCTTCTCCTCTACCACCAGCACCTCTGCCATCCCTTTCCTCATGTCCAGCCATTGTCGAAACTGCTCCAAGGGGCTCTGATACCACTTGTTATAGTCACAATAGGCTCCAATGTGCCTAAAACGAAAGATAGAGTGCACAGCCGGATTTCTGCACAGCGGCTTCAAACGTTCATAGCGTTCTGGTCACAACTTCAAATGACCTGATTCAACTTGGATCTGGAGCGTCTGAACGTCGCCTACAATAGACAATTTAGATCGCACGATTTGACCAAGTATTGACGACACAGTGTCGGTTTGAACGAACGGCACTATGGCAGCCACTATAGTCTTAGAACACAAAATAGGAAGAGATCTGAAGAGTTACGAGTTGGGAATGACTCCCAGCTCCTACAAACCCCAAGAGCCGAGGTACAGTGATGTGGAACAGTGCCACACCAAGTGAAATGTTACACTACACAAAGTAATGTAACTATCTTCAATATCTTGAGGTGTACCCTTTTGGCGAGCTTTGAAATCACCTGAGGCTTGACACCAAGGCTCGGGCTCTTCATCACAAACTCATCCTTGAGTTCTTGATGGGTCTGCTGCACACACCTGCGACACACCGAACGTTCGACACAGGACAAAATAGAAACCGCGCACGACAAAATAGAAACCGCGCGCGAGACACAAACGACCGCGTAACACGCGTCTAGCGATAACTCGCTATTGACTCAACACACACACTCGACATCATGACTCAACATTCACACACAATTATAAGCATGAAATATATATTATCCCATGCCCTCATACCATTCCATACACACACACACATGCACGCACACGGACAACAAGCCGAGTGCAAACCATAGGGTTGCACCAACACAGTGTGTACAGGCTCGACCCCGGCTGACGGGTAAACATGCCAAAGTGTCGGCCCGTCTGAGCACACGTGCAGTGGGTCGCTCGTTGACTCGAAGGAGTGAACTGGTCAACCTCCACATCCTGTAGGTCAGCACCACTCACCAAGTTCGTATAGAATGAGGGGAGGTAAAGACCTGACAGGATGCCAGAGGGGGCCGCCGGACACGGCAGGACAGTGGAAAGGTTGGCAAGGACAGGTTCCCCAGAGGGGTCTGCCAGGGAGACTGCAACTGGCCGACTAAGCGGCGTGAGTGTGGTGCGGTCTCGAAAGAAGGAGCGGGAAGCACCCGAGTCAAAAGTGAAGGTGTGCAAAACCTGAGCCGACGTGGTACCTGAGAGAGCAGAGTCACCAGCACCTGGAGCAGCAAACTCACCAGCACCTGGAGCAGCAGACGCACCAGCATCTGGCGCAGCAGACGCAGTAGCACCTAGAGCAGCACCCTCAATGCCCGGGTCAGGCGGCACACACAAGTAACAGTCACCCTCGTCACTAGTAGACACAACATACATGGCAGCAAGAATAGCATCATAATCAAGATCAAAGATAGCAACCCCCGACCTAAGCAGCTCGCCCCAGCGAGAGATCTCAGTGGCGTCAGGGAATTGGAGACGCCTGGCGTCCGTCAGGCGGCCAAAGCAGCGCTGGGTGGCGTGCGGGCCGCCGCATGGCTCACCAGTGCGGTCGCCGATACGCAGGACGTAGGCACAGAGACCAGCACCTCCGCCCCGGTGACGCGCAGCGTACCACTCACGGAGCTGATGGGGGGCCAGGGTCTCACTGCTACTTGGCTAAAGGGGCGCGGCTCGCTAGTGCGCTTACCAGTGGCGAGTGGGTAGGGTGGCCGCGACCGGAGTGGCAGGGCCGAGGTGCGCAGGCAGGGTCGGGGCCGCAACTGGGCCGTAGGGTAGGTTCGCGGCTCGGCTGCAGGTCAGGGCCGGGGCAACAGGGACCGTAGTAGCAGCGGCGCCGCGTGACACCAGTAGGGGCGGCAGCTGCAGTGGCGGCATGGACGGCGACGGCAGTTGCTGCAAGGACGGCCGCTGCTGTAGGAACAGGGACGACGGGGCGGGAGGGCCGCTACAGCGGCAGCAAGGGTGATGGCAGCTGCTGGTGAGGCGGCGACGACAGGGCGGCAAGGCGGCTACGGCGGGCCGCTAAGAGCCGCGAAAGGGGAGAGGGGGGGGGGGGGGGGGGGGGGGGGGGGGGGGGGGGGGGGGCGTGAAAGCGCCGCCAAGGAGCCCGAAGGGGCCGCGAAGGGCTGTCAACAGGAGTGTTGTAAGGCCCCGTCCTCGCTTTGGCGGAGCCAACCTTGTGGTCGGATGTGCGAGGGTTGCAGCCGACCTGCAGCAGTGGGCACGGGGGCCACTGCAAGGGCGCCGAGTTGGAAGGCGCCTGGCTGGGCGGCGCCGAGCTGGGCATCGCCATGACCACCCGGACGCTTGGTCGACGTCGTGGGCGTCTGCACGGCGTCCGGGGGTCCGGACGCCGACCTGGGCGTCGGGTCCCGACACCGACCTGGGTGTCTAGTCGGCGTCCTGGGAGGATGGACGCCTCTCTGGAGGCTTTGGTCGGCGTCCTGGGCGTCTGGACGTCGACATGTGGGTTCAGAGGCATCGTGGGTGCGCCTGGACACCGGACTGGGGACGCCGGGCATGCGTGACCGGCTACGGACTGTGCGAGTCGACCAGGCGTGGTTGCCTGGTCGATCGGGATACCCGGGTGACATGCGCGAGCGTCGCCAGGGTGGAGACTGCGAGGCCGACCTTGGGGGTGGTATCCCGAGGTCGATGTGGCTGGTGGGCACAGTCGCTGGCATGGAGTCTGCCAGGCATCTGCGTTGTGCACGTGACAGGGAAGTGCGCACCAACCAGCTGCGCGCACCTGCGAAGCAGGTGCACCGTTGTCCTGCGGGTGCAACGCTGTGCAGCCGACTTGGTGCAGCGCTGGCACACCGTGGACTTGCAACGTTGGCGAACCGCTACCCTGCTATGCTGGAGCGGTGCGAGCGCTGCTGCGCTGGAGTGCGGTCGACCGTGCTGCGCTGGAGGTTGACTAGCAGCCTAGCTAGCTCTGATGTAGTCAATGTTGCCAATGTTGTTGTTATCATTGTTCTGAACCTTTCCTAGTGGAACTCTTGCCAACTTTCCCCGTGAACTAGCAAGTAGTGTGCGCACAAGGAAAACGACTAAGGAACAGAGAACGCAGAGATCACACGAGCACACGTGCCTAGCCTGCAGTCTAGCTCCCGTTGTAGCAGTTGTCTCCGCATGGTGTGGTGAGCGTGGAGGACACCGCGACGTAGTTCAGTCTAGCCGACATAGCACATACCGATCGTGTTTGTATACCGGCAGCCGTGTAGTCACTAGCGTGCGCGTAGGCGACGCCGAGGTGATGGACACCCTGGAGGGACGGCTGGAGGATGCGAGGAGACGCCATGAGGCCCAGGAGTATGGGGCAATACCCTGGGCAGTCGTCGAAGCCGGACTCCGCTCCATGTGGGCGGCGGAGCACCCCCCTTCTCGACCTGCCTCTCCTTGACCGGTGAACAACGACGGCGGCGTCGACGTGGGCGTCGACGCCGTAGGAGGCCAGGTCGGCAGCAGTGTGGGAGGCACGTCGAGGCAACGAGGTGTGATACACGCCGGTGAAGTCTGCGGCGTTCAGTCACGAGGGATGCAGTCGTCGGCGGCTGCAGGCTCTTCGCAGGGTGACGTCGGAGGTCGTCGGAGTGGGCTGTCGCCGATATCGGCGTCCTAGGTGACGGCAGGTGGGATTGCGCCGAGCTACGGCTACTTCAAGTTCACGCCAGACAGGATTTCAGTCAGCCCTCCGCTGGTCGGTCGACCCGACATTCTCACCTGGAAGGAAGCCATCGAGCCCCAGCTGGGGATGGCCGGGCTGATCGGCTTTGCCCGAGGGACCGTGGCGACGCCAGAGGAGCACCACCCCGACCTCCGTGCGGAGTTTCGCGCCGTGCAGCTGTTGACCTTCACGGTCATCTCGCGGTGCTGCTCGCCGGGCGTGCAGATCGCCTTGAAGTGGTGCCGAGAGTACATCGACGCCGGCCATCGGGCGTGGCACTTCATTGAGACGACGTACCAGGTCACTGACGACCTATTCATCGCCCAGCTGGAGGGACAGCTGACGCACCTGCGTATGGGTGACGAGGAGACTGCGACTGACTACTGCAACCGAGCCCGGTGAATTCTCGCCACTATCAGGATGGCCGGTGCGCAGTACTCTACGGCGTCTTACATCACCCATGTCATGCAGGGTCTCTCTAGCAGCTACAATCTGTCTATGGCGTCGAGCACGAGGGCGACGCTCAACGAGGACAACCTGACCTCGTATATCCTACAGGACGAGGCGATGCAGGAGGCTGAGCGGTCGCAGGAGCTCTTGGCGCAGGCGAACTTGGTCACCTCAGCGAAGCAAGGAGGCCGACCGGGGCAGCGCGGGCAGTCTGGCGGTGGTGGTAACAGCGGCTGGAAGCCAGCCAAGGAGGTCGACAAGAAGAAGTCGACCAAGGATAGCGGTCGTGGAGGTGGAGGTCGACGTCGGGAGTGCTGGCTGTGCGGCGACCCCGACCATCTCTCCTTCGAGTGTCCCAACCGCAGTGACTCCGATGACGACGATGCTAAGGGAGGCCGTGGGAGGTCTGGCAGCCGTCGCCCTCGTCGTGGAGGAAACCAGCAGCGCAAGGAGAAGCAGTCGACCAAGACTTCGACTTCGGCGAAGGACGTCGACTCCCCTGCTAGCGGCAAGGGGCGAGACGACAAGACGGCGTCGTGCTCGCTGGTCGGCGTCGTGGAGTCGACCATCTCTTTGGCACCGGAGGCCGGAGAGGACTTCCAGGCGGTGGCGGCAGCTGTGCAGGCGAACCCGGCGGTGGTCCTACTCGATAGCGGTTGCTCCCACCATCTGATGGGGACGAAGGAAGCCTTCGTCGACTTGCAGCCGAGTGGCTCCATCAAGCACGTGCGCGGCTTCAATGGGGCGCTGCAGGACGTTCAGGGCCGTGGCCCTGTCGCCCTGCAAGGAGAGGCCGGGAAGGAGGTGCTCATCCCCGACGTGCTGTACGTCCCGGGTGTGCGGGCCAACCTGCTGTCAGCCGGCCAGCTAAAGGAGAACGTCGTGAAGCTGCAGGAGGACGGAGACGGCATGCTGCTCGTCTCTGCAGCCTGGGAGGTGCTCGGTCGAGCGACGTATTCCGGGCGCGTCCTCTGCACCGACCTGCGTCCCTGCTCGACGACGTCGACGTCACACACGACAGAGGTTGTGGCTCTGCGGGCGATCGTCTCGAAGACGAAGTCGACGCCGGACCGGATGCATGCGCGGCTTGCACATGTCGGCATGGACACCATACGGAGCTCGGCAAAGAATGAGGCCGCCATTGGGCTGGACCTCAAGTCGGCGACGGACGCCGACTCCCCGTGTGTCTCATGCGTCGGCGGGAAACTGGCGCGGCACACCTTCCCCGACCACGGCTCCGACGCCGACGACGTGCTGGCCGTTGTGCACATCGACCTGTGCGGGCCGTTTCGCGTGGCTGCCAAGGATGGCAGCCTGTACTTCTTGCTGCTGAAGGACCGCAAGACCCGCTACGTGTGGGTGAAGCCGGTCGCCAAGAAGTCAGATGCGTTGCAGGCCTTCGTGCAGTGGCTGGCGGTGGCTGAGCGGCAGACGAAGAAGCCGGTGTTGATGCTGCGATCTGACCGGGGAGGGGAGTTCCTCGGGAAGCAATTCACCGACTTCGTGAACGGCAAGGGGATCGTCCACGACCTGACCTGCCCATACACCCCGCAGCAGAACGGCATGGCGGAGCAGGAGATGAGGACGGTGGTGGAGTCAGTGCGGACAATGCTGCTGCACATGGGTGTGCAGCACCACTGGTGGCACCTCGCTCTGCGGCAGGCTGTCTTGGTCCGCAACTGCCTCGAGAGGTCGACGCTGCCGCCGGGGACGACGCCGTACCAGCTGCTGACCGGGAAGAAGCCCGACTTGTCGTTGGCGCGGGTGTGGGGCTGCATGGCGCAGTTCCTTGTCCCTGAGCAGCAGGGTGGTGGGAAGCTGCAGCCGAAGGCCAGGTGGGGCCTGCACCTTGGCGTGTCGGCGGCGAGGAAGGGCTGGGAGCTCCTTGACGTCGCCACTGACCGAGTGGCCACCACGTTGGACGTGGTGTTCTACGAGGAGATGTCGTTGGCCGAGTGGAAAACGAAGCATGGGCCGGTGTCCGGCCGGTCACCGCCCACCCCGCCCTCTGACACCTCGTCAGCGACTCTGCCGCTGCTTGCTCAGGTTGGTGAGCTTGCTACTGGGGACGTTGAGGACGTCCACACCCCTACCACTCACCCTCTAACCCATGCCCCTCCCCTCGTGGCCGACCTGCGTGGGCTGACCTCGATGTCGGCCTCCGGCGATGAGGGGAGTCGTGGGACGCTGCCTTCGGCACCGGCCAAGTGCATCGCCGGTGGCCGACGTGACGAGCGGCGAATCGACGTGGGATTACAGTCGACAAGCTAGGAGCAGGTCGAGGAGCAGCAGCCGACAAGGGAGCAGGCTGCTGTGAAGCTGACCACGGAGCAGTCGGCGACCGGGCCGTCGGCAGGGGAGCCGACCACAGGGGAGAAGTCGACTGTGAAGCCAACCACAGTGGAGCTGTCGGCTGGAATGCCGGCTGAGGAGCAGCAGGACGCCAAGGGCGATGATGACAGTAACGATGGAGGGGATGCCAAGGAGGCCCAGCCGGGACCACGGCGTTCAGGCCGACTTCGGAGGCCGCCTGACTTCTTCGTCCCCGCTGCCTTCACCACGGTGTATGACGTGGACGATGACGACGACCTGCTGTACGATGACGCCGAGGAGGATGAGGAGTTTCCGGAACTCGACCCTGACATGCTAGCCGACCCCGAGCACCGTTGGAACATCTCAACGATGACGGTGAAGGAGGCGTTGGCGAGCTGGAAGGGCCCGGCGGTGAAGGCCGCCATGGAGGAGGAGATTCGCAGCCTCATCAACATGGGCACTTAAGAGCTTGTCAAACGCCCCCCGGGGGTGAACGTCATGAAGAACCGGTGGGTGTTGACGACGAAGTACCACATCGGCGACACCGTCGAGCGAGAGAAGGCGAGGCTGGTCGTGAAGGGCTTCACACAGGTGTACGGTGCCAACTACGACGAGACGTTCGCACCGGTGAGCAGTTACGTCACGCTGAGGATCTTCCTCAGCATCGTCGCCGTCCTCAACCTTAACCTGATGCAGCTCGACATGAAGAACGCCTTCCTGCAGAGCAAGCTCGATCAGGTGCTGTACATGTCCCAGCCGGACAACTTCAACGATGGAACCGGCCAGGTGTGTAAGCTGCTGAAGAGCCTGTACGGGCTGAAGCAGTCGCCGCTGTTGTGGTACTTGGCGCTCAA